GGAGAGCATCATCTGAAATTCAGGGGCAAAGAGGTTAACTTTAAAAGAGAGAAGGGATATATTATGTGATCTGGATTAAAATCACTTAACCTTGCACAAGCTCCATTTCTGCCTTTGATCAAAAGTGAAACAGAATAAATGTCTCAAAGAACTGTTGTGAGCATTGAATGAAGAGTTTTACTTTCTGGAAATGTAGGATTACTAAGAAACCTCAAATTGAAATTAATAATCCCAACATATTTGTCATAACTATTAAAAAAGTGGAGGGATGAGTTAAAAACTATTGCTATGAAAAAAGTCATCTATATTTCAGCATTTCTGCCAACTTTATCCAAATTTATTAATTTTAGGTGCTAAGTTCAAGCAAATGCATTTAATATTTTATATAAAACTCCTAAATTTGGCTATTGTGGATCTTCAGAAATAATACCAAACTTATTTTATAGTAAGTTTGGTAGTAAATCACCTGTAGACTTCAACATTTTATAGGGAAGTTAAGATATCATAGATGGAATTTAGTAATATATAGTTATTACAATTTCCTAAGCTTGTAGGTGAAAAAAAAACATACTGAATTAGATTGTGTTACTACTCAGTGGAAGAATCCAAATAAGGAAAAACAAGAAGTTTTTTTACTCCCAAAATCTGGTTTATTCTAAAAACTGAGTATGTTAGAAATGTAATCCATAGGATTCTGGTTTCCAGCCAAGGTTTACATTTTGCTTTGGAAATGTGTGAACATCATTTTTTATCACTAACCTTTAGTTCTGGCATCCATTAAATTAGCAGGTTGGTTTAAATTAATCCATTATGTACATGGCACAATGTGGAATCAGAATAGTGTGGTAGAAAGTTATCAGTACATGGGTTTGGTCTCAAATAAATGTGGGTTTCATCCTGTCTTTGAAGAGAAGTCATACCTTGGGTAATTTCTTAACTGGTTTGAGTCATTGTTTCCTTATCAGTAAAGCAGAGACAATAACATGTACCTCAAAGGTAAGTGTAAAAAACTGTAATACAAAATAGTGTATTCTTATTACATGCTAATCAGCTTTTCCACCACCACCCCATCATTTCAACCTGGTCAAGAGTGTCTACTTGCAGGAAAATTTCTCTTATCACAAGATCTTTATACCTCTGTAGCACAGCAAGAACAAGACTAGACTACTTGCTAAGAAAGTACTCATAGTCTTCACATGAGAGTAAAGCAAATGTCAAATATTATCCCTTGTCATAGTGATTATTATTTTTTTGCACAGGCAAAAGGGTTAGGGATTATTTCCATAGGCATGGTGATGTTACTTTTTATGAATGTAAATGCAAATCAAATACAAATATTCCCTTGAATACAGTAGATTGCTTGCTATGCTCTTTACAGAAGGAGGCCAGCATGATACAATACACAGAGAAGAGGAGCATTTGCATTTAATGACAGTCCTGCAAGAATGCAACCCCACCACCGTATGCCACAAGCACATGCTTGTTGATGAGAAAGGCATCAGAAAGTCTTTTTGCAGACAGTACACACAGTTTTCTGCCTTTTTTTTTTAGTACTGTTGTGTAACATTGTCACAAACTTCTAATTAGGTTTCATATAATTATGTTCATGTCCAATAATCTCAGTGTCAAACTCTAGTTGCAAAAAATATTTGAATGCAAAGATTCATGAATATGTCTTTGAGGGAATGGATGCTGATTGCATTTTCATATTTAGCATAAGAAATCTCAACATGTTTATCAGAAGGAACTGAAATCATTATACAAAGACTGCAAGTTTAAAGTCTTTTGGGGGAAGATAAAGCATGACAATTGGAATTAACTATATTCAAAGGGTTTTTTATTTTCTGAAAAAATATAAAATTTTGTATCTTACACTACAAAAAACATGTACACAAACCAAATGCACAGAGAACTTCAAATGGAGAAAAAAAAATACAGAAATGCTAGTTCTTCCTTGAATTAATGCTGAGGCATGGATCTGAGCTATCCCAGTGCCTAACACAGAATAAAATAACTCTATACAGTTGCTTATAACCTGCCTGAAACTAAAACATTAAAATGAACACATTAACAAATGACTGAGTCTAAGTTTTATCCTCAGACTATTATAAATGAAATTTACACACTTTAAAATAATTAATTATAAAACTAATAGCAGTCTAAAGAAGAACAAGTATGTTGACCACTGAGACTTCTACTGTTAAGACAGCCCAGCCTGAATAAACATGATGTATTTTGCCACCATCAACTTTTTTCACTTACATTTAGAAGAAAAAAATGACATTCAATTCTGATTATTATAAAAGACTCTTTTTAAAAAAGAATTGGTGTCTTTCCCTAAGCAATAATTATGTGGTCATTCTGAACAAGAACATTCAATCATCTATGTGTAAAAAGACTTTTTCATAAATCAACAAGAAATGAAAAGAAAGTTCTTATCTATTTCTTCTTTGATACATTGCTATATAATTAACAGCATAATAGAGAAAATATTCAATGTAACCAGCTGTGCCTCAGAGTTGAAAAAATGATGACTTATTCTAGTTATTAATTCCAGATAAAACTAGCACTTTGTTTATTCATTATCATCATCATCATCTTATTGTACCTACTTTTATTTTGAGGTTACACATCTGGCAGGACATAAGCAAAGACAGTTTACTATCATACTTATCTTTCTTTTTTTCTTATTTTTAGAAAGAACAAAATGAGAAAAGAGTCTTATTCTACTACTCAACATCATACATCTAGTAAATTTCTAACATCTGACTCAACTGGCATTTGCCATCCAATGCACGATTACAGTAAAAAATGTCTTCCATAGGTAAGTATCTCTGCTTGTGCTTCTGAGAGCCCACTTTACATGGGATAAAGAATGGTGGTTAAAAAAAATCTTTTAACTTTCACATGGAGATTAAATAGCAGACATGCAAACACATTAAGTGCTCAATGATATTAATTTTCCATTTAAACTTGAGATAGGAAACTATTTCTTCACCATTGCGCACTGGTTAGAACTCTCACAAACTGAGTTAAGGGTGTTATGTATTGTTTTGGCAACTCTAAAACTAAGAATGCTGATCACATGTAAGTTTAGATAGAGTATCAGAATATAATTTTTACAGTAATCCTACAACTTCAGAATACTGACTTGGTGATTAAAACACAAGAAATAAAACACATGCACATCAATTTTTTTTAAATGGGAAAATCAAAATTTTCACCTTTTAACATACAATGCCCACATTTCCAATGGCCAAGGAGAGAAACTGAGTATGTCATTTTTACATGCGAGCAAATGGCAAGATTAGAAAACAAATTATGATTGATAAAAGCAGTCATTGAGCGACTTCAACAGGTATCAGTAAGTTGAAAATTATTTCCTGCTTGTACACCTTTTTCAAAGTTAAACACTGAGAAAGACTTATGGTCTAAAGGTATTGCTATTGTTAAAATAACATTACGTTTAATTTGACAAATCTATCTTATGTACTAAAATTATTGAATCTGTGTTTTACTTTCGGTTGTCTGCTGGGTGACAATATTAACCAAAAGGATAAGAAATCACACAATCAAGATTTGTCAAATCTTGCCCTGGGTTACTGCCTCACTGTATTTCACAAAAGCTGCTTCTCTCCTTGTTCCACTTCTCACATTTATAGATGAGATTGGCACTTCCCAATTGGTGACATATCCAGTGGTGAACACATATTTTAGAAATAAATTATTTTCTCTTTTTTAAGGAGGAGTACATCATATAAAATCATATTGACATTCCTTAGAAAATCTCAACCAAAGTGAGATAGGGATGAAAGCTATGTGTCTATTTAACTTTCATCTCAATTTACTTTTGAAAATATACATCAAGGTGGCAAAAGAAGTAAACAAATTTAATTAAAATTAATTTAAAATATTCTCTTGTGAAAAAGAGAAAACCTTCATTAAAACATCAAATTCCAGTTGCTTAGATACACTCCATCCTGACCTTGCAATCATCTTGGAACAGATAAAGCTGGAGAACAATTTAAATATATTTGTTATGTATAAGTAACTGTGGTCAGTCAAATCAAATTTAATTTTATGGTAGTTTACCTTTTTAATCGACAAATATATTCTTACTTCAAGTTTCTCAATTGTTACTTTATCACTTAGATTAGATTGGTTTTACAAAATTCAGTAAGTGCAACACAATCTCTGATTATTTTGTACAAAAGGAACTAGTTTACTATTTTTCCTGAAATGAACAAATGCATCTTTCATAAAAGTGATGCCTGCTTACTTGTGATTTCATCAAAACAAAGTTGTATCCATCTCTAGTTTCTTCAGAAATTTCACTAAAATAATATAATTAAGCATAGTTTGTGTGGACCCATGGTACAGTATATAAAGAATTATAGCTCTACTTGGACAGGACTCAGTATATCATTTGAAATTGTTTAAAACTCTCCCCCTTTCTCCCCCTATATTCTTTAGCAAAGAGCAACTTAAGTGAAGGTGGGTAGGGTAAAAGGAAGAATTTATTCCTTTACATGCTAATGTTTGACTGAAAGAGGTGTTTGGGAGAGAGAGAGGGAATACTGACAATATAACGCAAGTATGTTCCTTACGGATGTCACTAACCCAGGCTACTCCAGTACACTATTGCTGTTGACAATCTGAAGTAGGCTGTATTTTGTTTAAATGCTGTGCTCCTTGAATAATCATGTCATTTCACTATTTATAAAGTGTAACAATACAAAAGAACTTGGTTATTCCACCAAGGAGCGCAGTTTTGTTCAGGTTCTAATAAATGGTTTAATTTGTATCACAGCACAAATATCACTCTTCACCAAGTTTGGTTCATAGCATGTACAGAGGACATTTTATATTTCTTAATAAGGCCAATTGAATAGCACTTTAGATTGGCTCCTCAAGATCAATTCAATGTAACTGAATACAAGATAAAATTACCAAAGGAAAAAACAGCCATCAACAAATAAAACTGGTCTTACACTATTGCTGTTGACAATCTGAAGTAGGCTGTATTTTGTTTAAATGCTGTGCTCCTTGAATAATCATGTCATTTCACTATTTATAAAGTGTAACAATACAAAAGAACTTGGTTATTCCACCAAGGAGCGCAGTTTTGTTCAGGTTCTAAAAAATGGTTTAATTTGTATCACAGCACAAATATCACTCTTCACCAAGTTTGGTTCATAGCATGTACATAGGACATTTTATATTTCTTAATAAGGCCAATTGAATAGCACTTTAGATTGGCTCCTCAAGATCAATTCAATGTAACTGAATACAAGATAAAATTACCAAAGGAAAAAACAGCCATCAACAAATAAAACTGGTCAAGCCTTGCCGTAGAGAAAATTCCAAAAGGAAAAAAAAAAATATGGATGTATTTGACATCCTTCCATTGCTGCTTTAGTATCAAAATTTCTAGAGCTGGGCCACAAAGGAAATGGTTACAAAGGATTAACACTTAGGAGTAATGCTTGGTGCTATGTCCTGGATTTAACAATATTAACAGAAGTCTGCACAGTTAAATCCTTCTACATCCTGCTGAAAATGTGCCCTTTGGTGTCAACTTTGCTTGACAAGATATTTTCTGGGACTCAGAAAGGTGAAATTTCTTACAGGGGTGTAAGATTAATGGCTAGAAGAACTGCATTGTCACAGATATCACAAAATGTTTTTAAAACACCAAAGGGGATTTAGCCTTATAGACATTTCCTGTTACTGAATAGAGAGATTTAGCAGCTTTTGGACACATGAGAGGAAAAAAGACACAAGCTTTTGTTAGATTTTGTCTTACTGCTTCCCTATTTCTCCTATTTCTAATATACCCTGGAATGCTTGTTCCTGAATGTTGCTAAAATTAAAATACTATTAACAATGCAAGCTGAATGGTAATACACATATGTGCAAGCCACACACACACAAAACTTCAACGTAAATTGATTCCTGGGTATACAGCAAATTATACAGTGTATACACATTTATTACCTAGTAGTATCTAGAAGAGCAACTAAAAGTAAACTTTATAACACAGAAAAATAAATATACACCCTGTATTGTACTTGTCCTTGATCAAGCAACATATTTATACACTAGTTTCTATAACTTAACGCTGTGTAACAGCATTTAAAATTACAAAAGAAGATATCTATTTAGAAATTATCTAACCATATTGCTCTTCAATACACTTATGTAGACAATTAAGACTTGAAGTAAACGTCAGTAAATTGCAGCTTTTGTTAGCCTACAGATGGCTATCAAACTTTCCTTTCAAGTAGATTCTTGGAAGTTTTGAAAGGGGCTGCCTTCATTCAGTCTAAAAAGGTGCTATATATAGTTATATATTTCATGTATAAAATTTTGTAGAAGTAGGGAGAAGGATTTTGTTGTTGTAATACAAGATAGTGTTTAAACTTCATGTTCTTATTCCATGCAGGTTATATTTGCTTCATGAAAAATGAAGACAGCAAGAGGAAGATAAAGAGATTTTAGTAAAACACTGATTACAAATTCTGTGGCTGAAACAAATGCTCTCTTAATGTTTAGAAATCACTGAGTTTTCCCTTTTTCCCCTTTGTTTTTTGATAAAATAAATCTCAGAGCTTGTTTACAAAGTGCAGAGTCATTCACTTGACGAAGTGACAATAAACAAGTTACAATGGCACCATCCCGTTGACCAGCTGCACCTTCATTTCTTGAAGGCTGTTCATAATCTTCTTCTGGTGACCAACAAGAGTCACTCCAAGCCGTCTCAAATCCCTGCATGAAGAAAGCACACATTGGATGTATGTATTGACTCAGTTTGTAGCACAGTACAATACCTCACGTTGGCAAAGAGGCAAACCTTTTGCAGAAGCTAATTAGATTACAGTCCCAATTTAGATATACGGGGTCCAATTTTCAAACGCAGGCTCTAAAATTGTATGTTAAAATCTGTTTGCAGTCAAAAAATATTTACAACAAGAAGTGATATACATACTTGCCCTCCCCTTTTGGATGATTTTTCGGATGGCACAGAGCAGGGAAAAAACAAACTTGCACATTCTCCCAATAAATATTTAAATTAAAGGGTACAATTTCATTGCATGGTTTTGAAAACGTGGACCTACAATATGAATGATCACTTTTTATTTTACTAAAAGAAGCATAAAATATACTTTAAAAAATTTCATAGCTAAGCAGTTGAAGACCAAACTTTTCAAATGACTCAAGTCAGCACAATCATCTTGTATATTGGGTATCTTCAGGGGATAATCATCACTACATTGCTTTGATAACACTTAAAATATTTTATTTTTTACTTGGAATCCAAAGTAGCACAGCTTTCTTTCTTTATCAAATATATCTTGGTTCTATTGGCGTTTAGAGCATTCTGAAGATTACACGCTATCAAGAGATCTTTTCAAAAAAGATTTTTATATTATTTCTTTTTAACAAGCTTATTATTCAAAATAAACTTACAAATGTTTAGATTCTTAAACTAATAGCATATTTTGGCATTCAAAGCCAGAGCTCATGGTTTTTAAATATTGTTTCACAGAATATCTAGGAATTCTATTTTTCCAAAATATGCATTTGACAAATATAACAATTCAGATATGTTTGACAAATAATAATGTTAATTATTAAAAAACTGAGCACTAGTGATTCAAGATGTTTCAATGACAAGATTTTAAAATGTTTGCCATGTTAGATTTCCTTAGATAATTACTCTTAACACATTATGCTAAAAGGAGAATATTTTTGCATCAGTAAATGTACTAATTTCAGACTGTCTTAGAATTCTTTAGAATTGGATACAATTGCACTGGAATTATAGGTAAAACTGAATAGTTTTGGACGCTCAAAAAAATCTCTTAATTGTCAGAGGATAGAAAGTTAATAAATGGGTACTTAAGTTCTATGTGTATTAGTATTGGAAATATTATTTATCTAAGGGATGTGGATTTGATCCCTGGGTCAGGAAGATACCCTGGAAGAGGAAAGCCCCCTCCAGTAGTCTTGTTTGGAGAATTCCATGGACAGAGGAGCCTGGTGGACTACGGTTAGTCCATGGGGTCACAAAGAGTTGGACACAACTGAACAGCAGAGTTGAAGCGACTTAGTAGCACCAGAAAGTAATACATCAGGTGTCTTTTCCCTTTTATGTTTTGTTGATTTCTTATGAGAGTTTTAGCAAATGGCAAATAGCTAAAGAAAAAGCAATGAACACTTATGGTGGAAACATTTCTTCATTTGAATGTAAATGTGAAACATTTAATTTAGAAATTATTATAGCTACAAGACACCAGAGTATAATAAAATTAAGAATAATGAGGCAAGGAAGACAATCATCAACAAAACTTAAAAACCAGTAAAATTTCGGTTTAAACAAAATCACTATTGTTAGTTATGAATGGGCTTCCTTGGTGGCTCAGCTGGTAAAGAACCCACCTACAAAGAGGGAGACCTGGGTTTGATTCCTGGGTTGGGAAGATCTCCTGGAGAAGAGAATGGCTACCCACTCCAGCATTCTGGCCTGAAGAATCCCATAGACAGTCCATGGCGTCGCAAAGAGTCAGACAGACTGACTTTCACTAGGCATGAATAGATTGTAAAATAGCTAATGGCAGACTAACATAGGAACAAAAGAGATTTGTGTTTAATCTTGTCTTTTTTCAATTCAACCGGGGTTTCTGAGCCTTGCCCCTGTTAACATTACAGGCTGGATAATTATTTGTTTGTAGGGGCTACCCTGTGAATTGAAGGACATCTACCAGCATGCCTTACCTGTTCCCACTAAATACCAGAAATACTGGATGGCCACTGGCCCTTTGTCGTAACAAGACAAAATGTCTCCAGACATTGCAAAGTGTCCCTTGAGTGGAAAAATCTCCGTTGGCTAAGAAGCATTGCGATAAATATAATAAAATAGGTAACAATTAAGATGTCCTCTTCCTATATGCTAGGAAAATATAGAAGCAACATGATATAGATTTTTGTTAATTTCCTTTTATGGATGAGAAAACAATTTCTCATTTCTCTGAGATATAATATTGAGCAAAAAACTTTAAATTACATGCAGAAATTTATTAATATGTGAAATGAAAAATCTGTATATATAACATCAAATATCCAGAATTCCAAAAGAAAGAAGATATTTAATGAAGGAAACAAAACACATGATTATTTGACTGAATCTATGGTAATCCAGTCTATACTTCATGGCAACTACGGTTATGGGCTAATTAACACTGTCATATTTCCGCATATAACATGTATTATGAATTATGAAGACAATTTATGAGTGCTCACTACCAAGTTTTGGACTTACATCAGGAGAAAAGGGGATAAAATTTCTTAACCTGAAAGCAGTCAATCTCTACTAGAGAATGTAAATAATTAGAACTTGAAATAAAGTTTAAAACATGTTTTATCATGTTTTATAAACCTACATGTGGTTCTGACAAAGGTTTGAAAGCAATGATTTAATATATACATACTTAAACTGCAGAATCCATATGGCTAATCCAATTATTAAGAATGAGTTTTTGAAAATAGCTATTATAGTTATTCTGAAAGACCTGAAAAAATATTAGACTTTCCTCCTCAAACAGGGTGAACTTTGCATGTATAATACCGAAACCTTAAAGTGTGTGTGTTTCTGGAGTGTGGTGCATGGGCGTAAGTGTGTATGTATTCCATATTCCAAGTCTTGGTTGCTTTGCCTCTTATTAAATCATTAGTTTGACTTATTTTTGTTTCCACTGTCTTTATCTGTAAATATATCTACATATAACTTCATTCTCTGCAAATAACCACAAGAAAGAATCTGGTTCAGTGCTTTGGGAATTTACATTTTTCATGACATCTATATCATGCTAAAGAATGAATATTTTAAGAAATTGTATTTGATTAATACAGTTAGAAAGTTTGTGTTTATAGGCAAATAAAACCTGACCTTCTTCAGAACATTTCATGTATCTAGATGTTAAGTTAAATTTGTTTAAATTTTTCCAAGCACAAAATTTTATTTAGGGTCATCTTATGACCTGATAATCCCCTAACATTCATACAGAATTTCATACCAGTGAAATTCTCTATCCTTCTCCTCTCTCTTCTTACATTTCACCTCCCACCTCTATCTACACCTCTTTCCATGGGATAAATGGATTTATGAAAATACAGCACTCAGTTTTACATACTGTCATAAATTACGTGTCTTTAATGGAATGCTGTTTTTGAGGTCTGACCTGTCATTTCAAAAGCTGTCAAATTAATGTGCAGAGATTTAGAAAGTAGCATGATTATAATGCTGCAGTGTACATTTACCTTTACACAATGTGATTTTGAAAATGTGGGGACAAACAAGATTATTCATGCAGTTAAATCTGTTCTCAGGAGCAAAGTTTTTTCTTTAAAAATTCCATTTAATATTTTCCTACTAAAATCACAAATGAGAATTAAAAAGGTATTAGGAAAATATTTCCTGTAAAGGTTAAGTAACTTTATTCCAATATTGATAAATACACTATGGTATTTTCTTTAATGTAGCTTTGTTTCACATTTTTATGATTTCCAATAATTTCCATTTTACTTCTTAAAGCACCTATTAAATGGTCTATTTAACAGTAATAATGTGAGAAATTTGATAAAAATAAAAGTATTTTCCATTACATGATAAAGGTGTTACTCTATAATTATTTTTGAAAAAAATACTTGAAAATGTGTTATTTTAATCATTTCATTTATCTATATAGGAGGTTTTGTAGCAAGGGAAAGTTTTAGGTGTGTCCCCTTTACATATATGATACTAATTTTATCATGACCACGTGTAATCTTAAGTAATACCCAAAGCCAATTGAATGATGATAAACTAAATTTCAGCATAGGCTTATGAATCTAAACATGATTGACTAATATTGTTACATAAAAAAGTTTTAATTCTGTCAACAAAACATGATTAGTTTTAGAAAAGCTGTAAATATAAATGAATTGCCCTTGTTGTGACAACATTCCAATCTTTTTTTCAAATGTTATTTCCTAATATAAAATAATGGGAAACACTGGTATTATGGTGTTAAATGGCAGAATGAAAAATAGAAACTAAACAAGAGGTTTAGTTGATGTTGGAGCCAACTCTTGATTATTCAGGATGTAATTTATCCACTGGTAGAGGAAACATTCCCTTACATTCTTCTCCCTTCTGCTTTACACATCTTTTAGCCATATCACTGGTTACTTAGCCCCACCAACACAGGCTGGATAGGAGAAGGGAGAAGAGAGCTTAGTGAACATTCACTAAATTTCAGTGTTTATTCTTATTGTCATAGTTTTATGATACTATTGTATATTTGGGATTTTTTTTTTTGGTTCACTTAGAAGAATCCTGATAATCATTATACATGTACTGTACAAGGTATACATATATCTTGGCAAGAGAGGACTTAACCATGACCTAGCTATAAGTTTCAATGACTGAGACCTTGTAAGAGTCACACTGGATGTTTTAGCTTACTTACGCAGAACACAGAGGATAGTAAGTACTCATATGTGTTCTTTAGGCATATAATAAATTTTGCATAATGACTTTATCGATAAGTTAAATTGGGGTTGAAAGTAAAAGTGAAAGTCGCTCAGTCATGTCCGACTCTTTGCAACCCCATGGGCTATACAGTGCATGGAATTCTCCATTTGAGTTAGTGTGCACAAATTTTGGCTCTAGATTTGTGACACTTAATTTTAATATTTCAAGGCCCTAATTTAATAAATAAGTAAATAGGAATTGCTTCAGCTTACACACGATTGGTAAAATAAAGTTTACTGGATTTTATTCATTTTCTGAATAATCAAAAGTTGACAGTACTGATCTGACAGGAAGTTTAAAAAACAGCTGTGATACTGTCCTTATTTCCAATATTTGGATTCAGTGTGAAACTCACCTCAAGCTCACAGATCCCCCTGCAGACCATAACTCCCTGCACTTAAACACCACAGTACAGATTGCATCATTGCTGCTACAATAATTGTCATATGAGCACCGTACGCAGAACAGCCAAGTTTAGGCACAGAGAACAGCAGACAGAAACATCTGAAGTTGAAAGCCACTTTCGCTGAATACATTTTAGCTCTAAGTTCTTAAAATATTTCATTTCTATTCCACATCAAGCCTTACATATATGTGCTAGCCAAAAAAACATAGATAAAATTAAACTTCTATGAAGGAAATTGTCACCAAAGTATGTGGTTCTGAAAAATTATAATTGTTTCCTCTTCCTTATTCAAAATCCATCATAAGAACAAATTTGATGGCACAAATTATATTAATAACATATTTTTCTTATGTGTGTATATGGCAGTTTGGTCTTTTGCTTTATATTAATTAATTTTAACTTTTTTCCAAGCATTTCTTACAAGTATGAATATATTCTTCCAGTTCGCAGTTTCAAAATTATACTCTGGCAATAATACTTGTATATCTTATTTCATTATAGTTTATACAGGTTACATAAAATTATTATTTAGACAGGGCCTAGTGACTAAACAACAACAAAGACCATGTAGAAATAAATCTTCAACTATTTAAGATTTTTGTCTTTGTCTTTACTAATATTTTAGTTCCTTTGTCATAGTCCTTAAAATGACTGGCTTTTTTTTTTTTTTGGTCAAGAGCAAGCAAAATGCACATATAATCTTTTTTTTTATATTCTTGACCAAACAAGTAACTGATCACTCATTCTTCTGTGAGTTATTTAACATAACATTTTGATAAATATGTTCTTACTAATAGGGGGAAAATGTGGTCAAAAACACAATAAAGAAGAAGACATGTGTTGGATTCTCCAATAAATCGGCTTCACTTAAGATTGGTTGGCTCAGTTCCTAGTAAGGAATGTGGTATTTATAGTCCCAGGAAACTGAAGCAATTGACACATTGAGACCAACATTCTCTGAACAGGAAGATGTTGGCAAATCTCTTAATTTCACCTTATTCTTAGGTCAGAGTAAATAAATTAAAACATAAAATATCTGAAAGGAGGCAATACAGAAGGCAACATGCTATCAAAGCAACAGAGAGAGAAGAAACTGACCCATGTAGAGAAGATTTGACCAGACAAAAATACAGGAAAATAGAAGCAGGCTGCAGACCATCACAAGATGAAAGAAGCTATTAAGTCTTGAAAGAAAACATACAAAATGAGAGAGTTTTGAAACGGAAGGGACAATAGAAAAGCAAACAGAAAGGAATTATTCAAAATAAAAAAAAGTGAAACCATAATGTAAAATATTCAACATATTTATAGTATTTGGGGGCCCCAATGAAAGCAAAACAGAGGAATTAATGCAAAAGCCATTATTAGTGATTATAACTATTCTGTTAAGGAGAAACAAAAAAGTAGTGGATATAAATATATACATGTATATGTGCTATTTTAATAAAAAGAGAGACATGGTTTAATGCAAATAGTTTTATTATATATTTACAAGTAATCTGACATTGGGTAGAAGAAATACCTACAGTATCATTTTAATATAAAATGACAAATGACTTTAATAAATTAAAATGACCATTTTTACTGAAAAATTAAATAGCAATCATGTAAAAATAGTTTTAAATTATCAATAAATTTTTCTGTTTACTATTTCAAATATAGTACTAATGAGTTTTTCGAGTGTCCAAAGAAATAATGGGAAAAGTATATGTGCTCTCAAGTAGATATGATCTAGTGGTGATGGTGAGAATGATATTCAATAAATTAAGAGAGCCAGCTAAGTAGTGATTTTAGGTCCTTTTAGTTATAGTTATGAAGAAGAGAAATTCTGAGAAAGTGACATTAATTGGTGATCAGTGATGGTACCCTGTTACCTTTTCTGTGGATAGGCAATGAGTTCAATGAACCAGAGAATGCCAGAGTAGAAATGGTGAGAACCAAGTGCTCAGTGTTCATATTATGTGATGTAATGGAAGAAAGACTGTGGTTTAGTGCTTTAGAAAGTTCTACCATGCTTTAAAACTTACAACAATATTTTAACCTTTGAATGTGTAGGCAATTTGAACTGTTATTATTATATTCATAGGTTAAAACATCATTTGTGTTAATGTAATCCAGATGTAACCACCATAACAACAGTTAGTTTTCACAAATTACAAATATTAGGCTAAAATAATGACACATACAGAGTATATAATAAAATTCAAACAACTTACAACCTTAAATAATTCAATTTTTAATTCTAGTGATTTTTACATAATAAGATCTGATAGATTTTGTCTTAAACGTGCAAAAAGAAGAGGGCACAATTGGTTTCCACTGAGATTGTACCAAAGAGCAAAAATCAAGGCAGGGTCTACTATATCCTTGGATTGCAAGAATATAAGATGCACCACTGATAGAGTAAACAGGATGAGATTCCTGCCCAGGAAGCTTTGTTTAAGCTGTTGTTATCTGGGTATTCACCCAAGCCGAAACTTAAAGAGTATGTTTCGTTGTTATAGGGCTAGCAGCACCAATTGTGCTTACAGTTTATTTTGTATTTACATTCATATAACACAAGTATCAGTAGAAAAACTTTTGTCAAGAAAACATCTTTTCTACAACACAAAGTACCAGTATTTCGCCAAGATGTTATTCCAGTCAATCAAATACTCAAATACTATTTGTTTGAAGCAAAGAAGCAAAGATACTGGCCACAAGTAGCATTAATCATGCAGTTGTTAACAATACAGGCTAAAAATGAAGATGCTTCTTTGAAAGCTGCCACACACGGACAAAGGTTAACTGACTTCCCTTGATCTCATCCAGATTGGTTTCTGAACAATTTTTCTTGCCCCAGCAATTATGTAAAAATTATCAGAAAAATTACTCACTCCAAGGTCACCTGAGCCACAGCGTCCATTGAACTGTATCCATTTTCCATGAAAATCTCTGTATATCGGCCCATTTTGATTGCTTCTAGCCATTCGCCTACTGATCTGTAGGCCCCAGATCCCAGTGAGCCATGTTCTGCCAATAAATCAGATACTCTAAAACACAAAAAACACAAATATTAAAAAAATTTATTGTAATATTAACTAATTACCAATGGATCTTTGAGTTTATAAGAATATTTATAGGAGAAAAATATACAAATGCTAACAAGGAAGAAAATAATTCAAAAAACAGGATGCAAAAATCAGCCTACTCAGATTTTTTCTATTCATAGTTAATAATGACTTATAATGGTTTGATAACTGAATTTTCTGTAACACAAAACATTAGCTAAAAGTTCCATGTTAGTAATTTAGATGTATTTATTTCCTACTGTGGTTTTGTTTGTAAAATACAGAAATTGCTACCAAATAGAGAGATGCAGGATAATTTGTGTAAAGTCAATTGCTTCTAGACTTTGCTAGAGAAACTTGTGCTAATTTAATCTTATTTCCTAGAAGACCAGAAATTAGTTATCTTTTATTTTATGCTCTTACATAGGAGTGCTTCTTAACTCATGTAGGAGTAGTAGAAATGAAAAGCAAAATGTAACCCTTAATATTAATACATAAAAAAACAAAATAGAATTAATCAAACTATGTGCTTTTCTTAACTATGTTAAATTTACACTCCTTGACCAATAATATATGAAATGATGATGATGATTTCTGGAAATGTATCCTAAGAAAATAATCAGGAAAATAGCAAAAAATACATGCACACTTTTTTGCTAAAGAAACATCAATAGCAATTTAAATGTCCATCAGTGGGACTTTNTTTTAGTTCCTCTTCACTTTCTGCCATACGGGTGGTGTCATCTGCATATCTGAGGTTATTGATATTTCTCCTGGCAATCTTGATTCCAGTTTGTGCTTTTTTGAGCCCAGCATTTCTCATGATGTGCTCTGCATATACATTAAATAAGCAGGGTGACAATATACAGCCTTGACATAATCCTTTTCCTATTTGAAACCAGTCTGAATTGGTCCATGCCCAGTTCTAACTGTTGCTTCCTGACCTGCATATGTTTCAACCATTAGTACATGACAAATACCTTTCTTTCTACTCATGTTCTCTGCACTTTCTCACATCCCATTTATACTTCAACCTACTTTGGTGTAGTTTCTTCCAAACCAATTTTATAAAAATTTCTCTGGTTAAGGTGAATAATGATCTCAATTATGTCAAAATCTGTGAAGATTTTCCAATAGGTCGCATGACTAACCTCTCAGAAACATTCAACAATCACCACTACTACCATCTCCCCCTTGCAATCTTACCTTATCTCAACCTTTTTTGAATCACTATTCTTTCTTTTGTGGCTTCCATAACTTGGTATGCTTCTCTTTGATCTCCTTTGCTTGCTCTTCTGTTTGACTTTAAAATTTGGAAGGAGCCAGGACACGGTCCTACATCTTCTCTGCTCAGGCTATAACTTAACTTTGGGGAGTTTTACCCACTTGCATGCTTCAAACATCATCTATTTTTCTCTGATTTTCATCTCCTGCCTAAGTCGCTCATATATTCACATGTCTACTTCATGACTCCTTAGTTCTTGGGCTTCTAATCACAACACATCCAACACCACACTACTCATCTTCTACACATCCAATTCCTCCTGAAGTCCTCCTTCTTATAGTCTATGATACAACTGTCTGCTCCTTCCTTGTCTTCAGTCCCTTCACATCTCTAATTGTGTTTCTTATCTATTCTACTTCCAATCTGTTGCAAATCTGACCATTTCTCTCTGTCACCAACTTAGTTCAAGACATCATCATGTCTTATCTGCACAAGCACATTAGCTTATAGTTATTCTACTAAATTTTACTCTCACTCTCCACTCTAAAACTAAAGTTTTTTTTTAAAGTTTTTATTTTATTTCATCTCTCTATCCTGCAAGAGTTTGTTGCTCATTTCTGCATACTCAGCACCTACTCCACAGCCTGACACAGAATACACACATGAATATTTATTGGATGAATAAATAGATATTTTGTAGTAATTTGTAGTCAATAAATAGTCAAAGATTTGTTGAATTTGGAAAACAGGATCTTGAAGTTGAGATAATAGAAGAGATGCAATTTGGGATAATAGCAAAATCTAGAATATGACTATGAAAAAGAGTTCAAGGTGGGTTAGAGACCAAAATCAATGAAGGAGAAAATTTCAAGGTATTGAGAAATATTTGAATATCATCTACATGGTTACTCAATTCACCTAATTTTGTGTCATGTGTAGGAACAGAGAGAAAGAGACAGTGAATCAGGAACTAACACCTTTGAGAACCAGGACTTGTAGATGAATGAATACAAAATCAGGTAGAGAGTTATACAGCTCTCCCCCTACTAACTGCAGCTGATTGATTCCAGGACTGGCCTTCCACACAGTTAATACCCAAATCCATGGATGCTCAAGTTTCTTATATAAAATGATGTAGTAGATTCAGCCCTCTGCGTCCACACATACAGAGGGTTGGCCGTAGAGTCTTAAGCTAAATCTGTTAAAATGAAACCTAGTAATCTGAATTCTATGTAATACATATATAAAGTAATATGAAAATTTGTTGGATATTTTTCACTGCTCCCAACCTACAATGATGATGTTGAAACTAATACAATTTAGAACTTAAAATTTATTTTTATGATTTCCTTTCCTTACATCAACTTATGACAACATAATTCAAACAACTAGAGAGAAATACAATATTTTAGATGACAACAAACAAATTAAAAGCAGTTATTTTGGGAATAACATAAGGAGTGATCTCTAAGATGCATTCTCCATTTGCTACCACAGAAAGCTAATGATGCCTGAACAGAGTTTGAAGATTCATTCCTCATTTGTGTTTAAAAATGACTCTTTGTCTAGTAAATGAATGTTTATACCAGAGTCACAGAACTTATGTAACTTTATCAATAAATTGTTTCTCATTTGGTTCATACTATGAGCAGTCAATTCAGCTACCAGCAGGATACCTTTTCTTGTAGAGAATGATAACTGCCTTATATATAATGAAAATAATAATCTGGTATATTTCCTAGTACATAATCAAAATGATATACTTTTTGAGAGGATAATTTTGTAATTTTCCAGGTAAAAGAGTTAAGAATTCTTTATATAAGGTAACATTATTTAAATGCATTTACATGCATTCAGAAAAGTTTAAAAAATGCTCATTTGCTCACACAAGTTTTTTCCACAAGATTACTCATTTATTAATTTCAAGTCCTGTTCAAACTACACAGTAAATGATTATCCAAATATCCATACTCAACTGGATAAGAGGAAAGAATCCCTTAAGGAGTTGTTGATGTTTATAGAATATGACAGGTTGAGAAATCTAGCTAGGGAAATCAAGAGTAATTGTTATGTATCTCTGGTTTAAAATTTTATCAGTGCTTAACTGGCTTTTCCCCATGATCTTATAATCTTATATGTCTCCTCATCCAAACCTATGTGGGGTTCAAAGCACTAAGAGTACATATATTTGGGGATTTTTAAAAAATATTACCTGAATTTGGCTACAGTTAACATTTATCTGAAACTGGTAGGTTATACTATTAGATTAGGTATAGGTGTTTTTAAGTATAATTTAATCATTTATATTTCATTCATGTAAAGAAAATTATGCAAAAACCATATTTAAATAAATTAGTGTAATGTAGGTTCATAGGCTAGTATGTGTACAAAAATAATTTCATTAACTTGATATCTGTGGCATTAATCTGAATTTGCAATATTCAGAAAAATCTCTCCAGTCTGGCCTTGTACCTGCTTGATGCATTAACCAGTGTCTTCAAGCTACTTGGGTTACGGATCAGCTTGTCCAACATGTTGACAATTTCTTCGAATTTGGGCCTGCTATTTCGATCTTTCTGCCAGCAATCCAGCATTAATTGGTAGAGAGCAGCAGGGCAGTCCATGGGGCTTGGCAGACGATAGCCTTCCTCTACGGCTTTAATCACCTGTGTAAAGTGAAAGAGAGCGGGTCCCCCAATGCCACAGATTAAATACAGAATAGCTTGAGAAATGTCCCACTGCTCAGTTGTATCCTTACTCTTACTCTTGAAATAACAACCAGCATCGCTGCCTCTAACACCCCCCATTACTCCTTTTGCTGCAAAATACGATGAAGAGAAACAATAGGCTATCATACAATATAAGATAGGCTTTCCTCACTTATGATAAAGAAAATAAATGGTAATCATTTTTACCTAAAATCTTGATAAAGAATGATTTGTAAAACTAATTGACATAAAAGCAAATAGTTCATACTTTATTTGTCCTCACATTCTGGAATCAAATAGAGATTAACTTTTCTACTGATTTCTCTGAAAATGTAATGTCTTTTTAATGAAAAATTATGTGTAGAATCACATTTTTTAAAATAATAGAAGCACAATTTTACTTCTAAAGAGACTTTTGGATGGCAAATGATGGATAAGTCAAAGGCTAAATTAGCATAACTGTCTCATGTATCATTTAATAATATCAAGGTCTGGCTGTTTATTATCATCTACTGTTTTCAGTCTGGAATTTGGAATGACTGTTTAGTAGTGTGAGCATTACAAACATCATTGATTTAAAATGCAACCACACATATAAGCATCAGTCTAATTGTGAGATTTTTTTTAATCAAAAACATTCTTAATGTTGCTGCTGCCATCAAAATATCTAACTCCAGAAGAGAACTGTTTATGTTATCAAACAATAATATATATTTTATTCAATTATTTAAATTCTAATATTTAAATGATACCAAAACCCAATAATGATGAGCATATTTCTCAAATCCTATTTGAATATTTTCTTAACGATTGTTAAGATTTGACCTGGCAATTAGAAAAAATAGGATTAGAAAAGAGAGTTTATAAAGACAATCTTGAAGGGTTGGAGAGAAATCAGTCTTCTAATGATAAAGGAAACAACATCTGAAAAAGCAGGGGCAGATGGAGGAAGACAAAATGGCAGATTTCAGAGACATTTATCACACAGGGGTAGAGGGGATAGTAGAGAAAATTTTAGAGAGAAAAGAAGTTCAAGCCTTTCATACTGGTTGATTTTTGCTGTTAATTTTAGGTAAGAACATTTATGGGGGTGGGAAATGTTGACAGGTATAATTTGGAGCTTGTTTTATTTGAAGTAAGTTTAGGCAACTGCAGATGGCAATTTGCAGGAATCTGGCTAGAGTACAGGAGATATTTGGGCTGATAATATGAATGTGAGGGTCATCAGCACTTGGTCACAGCTTGAAGTCGGGTGTAGTTTATAGCTCCCTGGGAAGGACACAAAATAAAGGTTCCTGAGAAGCACCAATAGTTAAGTTCAGGCAAAGAAACAAAAAGAACTCAAGGACTCTGAGAGTCATCTACTGCTTTAGTTGACTCAAAAACAATACGAAAAGTTAAAAGGCAAATCATAGTAGAAAATAGTTTAAAAATTATAACATATAGTTAACATATCTTGTGTATTAAAATCCCACACAGTATTGAGAAGTAAAATAATAAAACAACAAATGAGAAATAGGTACTAATAAAAAATTTACAAAAGAAAAAAGTGCTAAATCAATTCTGAGAAATTGTTATCACTAGTGATCAGATAAATGAATAGTAAAAATTAAAAGTGCCATTTGCACTCCTATATTAATGAAAGTTCATTTATTAATTTGCTTATTATAAGACTCCACATTATTTATAAAGACAATGGTTATTTTAGAATAATGTCTATGTAGCAGAATTAAATGCCTTAATAGAGTTTATATCATGAAATATTTTACTATGCAGTGAAAATAGTCATTCATATTTATGTAAAACCTGATATATCTTATAATGTGCTTGTCCTCAAAACTTGATACTAATTATGCCTATTTTTTTCCTTTGACATCTATTTTTAAAAATTATTTTCTTTCCTTCTCTGATCAGCTGGTCTTAAAAGTCAGGGGTCCCCAAACTCCAGGATCTAAAATCTGATGATCTGAGGTGTAGCTAATGTAATAATAACAGAAATAAAGTACACAATAAATGTAATATCTTTGAATCATGTGCCCTCTTTCCTCCTCCCCCAACACCCCATACCCTAGTCCATGGAAAAATTATCTTCCATGAAACCTGTCCCTGCAGCCAAAAAGCTTGGGGACCGCTGTTATATGTGATCATGAAATGAATAAATTAAACCAATTCCTTAGTTTTAAAAGGATTTGTAAGTTATTTGATCTGAGAAATTATTTCCAGACATTATTACTTAATTTTATTTTCAGCTGTAATTTTATATATAGATATAATACTCTGTCTCTAAGTTAACTTAGAACTTGGCCCAGAATTAGGTCATTGAATTTAATTCTAAATTCATCTTTAGAATTTATATTTAAAATAGATTTAGTGCTATAATTTTACATTTTATATTTGGACATTGTGCAGTTTTTTTTTTTTTAATTTTTACTTATTGTTCCCTTCATAGCTTGAGGGAGAAATGAATGGCGTTACTACTCTGGTGGTTTGTGAAAAGATAGAAATCTACCAAAGTTCTATGTAGGCTGTTCATTTTACCATAAAATTTACAATGTATGGCCAATGAATCATAATCTAATTAATTGACTTTGTTATTATGATTATATTTCTTAATGTACATGGTTGAGAAGAACAAATGAAAAGATAAAAAATAAATAAAAAGACAGCCAGAATTTTTAGACAACCTGGTACCATTTCAGACTTTATATCTGAAATATTGTCATATGCTATGCATTTTCTTGGCACTGACATGTAAATCAATAGTCTGAACACAATTTAAAGAATGCTGCCTCTCCTTCCAATAAATAAATCCCAACATGGAGCACTATTATGATAAGGCAGTAATTACCTGGTGGTGACTTTGATGGGCCCTTTCCATCACGCAAGAATCAGTGGGTTCATCTTTCAGGTACATACTTTTTTTGGGTATGGTTTGCTTTTGCTACCCACAGAGCTCTAGTTAGTATTATAGGTTGGAATGCCTGATCCACAAATGTGAACTCACATCTAGCATATCATATAACTAGAATATCCACATCATAGTGAAGGGTCTGTGAGCTTATCACATACATAATGACATGCTGGTAAATATTTAACAACTTTCTCTTCTTGAGGGGAAAATTTATAACATTGCTTTGTTGTTGTTGTTCAATTGCTATCATATCTGACTCTTTGCAATCCCCAAACTGCAGCATGCCAGGCTTCACTGTCCTTCATTATCTCAAATTCATGTCCATTGAGTCAGTAATGCTATCTAACCATCTCATCCTCTGTCACCTTCTCTTTTTGCCTTCAACCTTTCCCAGCATCTGGGTCCTTCCCAATGAGTCGGCTCTTCACATCAGATGGCCAAAGTACTGGAGCTTCAGGCTCAGCATCAGTCCTTCCAATGAATATTCATGGTTGATTACCTTCAGCAGCGACTGGTTTGATTTTCTTGCTGTCCAAGGGACTCTTCACCAGCACCAAAATTCAAAAGCATCAACTCTTCAGCGTTCAGCCTTCTTCATGGCCCAACTCTCACATCCATACATGACTACTGGAAAAACCATATGTTTGACAATAAGGACCTTTGTTGGCAAAATAATGTCTCTGCTTTGTAATACACTAAGTTTGTCATTGCTTTTCTTGCAAGGAGCAAGCCTTTTTAAAAAATTTCATGGCTGCAGTCACTCTATGCAATGATTTTGAAGCCTAAGAAAATAAAATCTGCAACTCTTTCCACTTTTTCCCCTTCTGTTTGCGATGAAGTGATGGTACTAGATGACCTGATCTTAGATTTTTGAATGTTGAGTTTTAAGTCAGCTTTTTCACTCTCCTCTTTCATCTTCATCAAGAGACTCTTTAGTTCCTCTTCACTTTAGCCATGAGAGTGGTATCATCTACATATCTGAGACTGTTGGTATTTCTCCAGGTAATCTTCACTCCAGTTTGTGATTCATTCAGCCTGGCATTTCACATGATATCTCTGCATAGAAGTTAAATAAGCAGGGTGAAAATATACAACCTTGAAATACTCTTTCCCAATTTTGAACCAGTCAGTTGTTCCAAGTCCGGCTCTAATTGTCATTTCTTGTCCTGAATGCAGGTTTCTCAGGAGACAGGTAAGGTGGTCTGGTACTCCAACTCTTTAAGAATTTTCCTCAGTTTGTTGTGATTCACAACAAAGGTTTTCACATAGTCAATGAAGCAGATGGCTTTTTTTTTTTTTAAGTCCTTGCTTTTTCTATGATGAATGGATGTTGGCAATTTGATCTCTGGTTCTTCTGCCCTTTCTAAATCCAGTTTGAATATCTGGTAGTTCTTGGTTCATGTACTGTTGAAGTCTGGATTGAAGAATTTTGAGCCTAACCTTACTGGCATGCAAAATAAGTGCAATTGTCCGGTAGTTTGAACATTCTTTGGCAGTGCCTTTCTTTTATATTGGAATGAAAACTGACCTTTCCCAGTCCTGTAACCACTGCTGAGTTTTCCAAATTTTCCAGCATATTGAGTGCAGCAATTTAACAGCATCATCTTTTAGGATTTGAAATAGCTCATCTGGAATTCCATTACCTTCACCATCTTTGTTCATAGTAATGCTTCCTAAGGTCCACTTGACTTCACACTTCAGGAAGTGTGGCTCTAGGTGACTGACCACACAATTGTGGTTAACTGGGTCATCAGGATTATTTTTGTATAGTTCTTCTATGTATTCTTCCCACCTGCTTCTGTTAGGTCTATACCATTTCTGTCCTTTATTGTGCCCATCTTTCCATGAAATGTTCCCTTTGTATCTCCCATTTTCTTGAAGAGATCTCTAGTCTTTTTTATTCTATTGTTTTCCTGTTTCTTTGCATTGTTCATTTAAGAAGGCTTTCTTATCTCTCTGCGCTATTCTCTGGAACTTTGCATTCAGTTGGTTATATCTTTCCCTTTCTCCTTTGCCTTTCACTTCTTTTCTCAGCTATTTTTAAGCC